AGAAGCAAAAAAAACAACAACGCTTTTAAAAAGTCATCTCGAACCGCGGATCTCTCGAGTGCCACACAAGTGTACTGCACTCGGCCATCGTCGCGACTGTTTGGGGCAATATAAATACAAAAATAAAAAAAAAAATAAAACGATAGGGACAAAGATAGAGAGACAAAAAGTGATAGAGATAAAAACAGAGACAAAGAAAAAGATTAAACTGAAGAATGAGATATGTATAATAAGTTGTTATGTTACGTTATGTTATGTTGTGGTATATCTATTATGTTAAGTTATTTTGTTATTTTATGTTCCGTTTGTTGTTATGTTATTTTGTTATGTTATGCTATGTGCTACCCTCATCACACCTCAACTAACCTCGCATCAACTCCTCTCCGTTCACATCAACTCCCCCCACCACAAAATCGCCTCTTTTTATCTGAACTCACTTCAACTCACCCCAACTAAAGTGATTCACCTCAACTAACCTTATCTCACCGCAACTCATCTCGCCTCAGCTCCACACACTCTAACTCATCTTAACTTATCTAAACTAACCTCACCTGAATTCACTTCAACTTAACTCAACTCAATTTTAGTGGTTGAATTTCAACCGCTTTGCGAACACTAGTTATGAAAATTCTGCAGAGTTGCATCAAAATTTTCTACTTTTTAATTCGATTTTTTGGATTTTTTTTTTTTGAGTACGCAATTAAATTTTGTATAACAAAGTGTAACTCTTAAGTTGCTAAAAAATTGCGCTGATTTTTTATAATTTTTTTTCTGGTAAGAAATTTTCGAGAAAATGCCTAAGAAAAATTTGCCAAAAATCAACACGATTTTTTGGCAACTTAAAACTTACACTAAAATTAAAAATTTGATAGGCTATAAAACTTTTTACTCGAAAACATTTAAAAAAATATGATTAAGTTGAAAGTTTAGATTTTATAATTTTTGCACAAAGTTTGTAATATACCTCTAATAATTTATAAGGTTTTTGTTAGATAACGAGCTACACTTTTATAAAAAAAAATATAAATACTAAATAAACAAAAGAAATATAGTCAAAACTGGTCAAAATAAGACCGAATTAAAAGAGCTTTTCACCATGAAAGTTGGCAAGGGAGCTTTTTTGTAATACTCTCGTGCCAAATAAACCAATTCAGTGAAACAATCTTGCCTAAATACGGTCTTTCAATTGTCTTACAAAAGACTTGCAACTGTCATAGGCAAAATTGCCCTGCAAGACTTTTTACTTAACAAACAGTTTTTGCTTTTGAGCGACGGGCAATTGCTAGTAAAAAAAATAGTAGTAATAGTCTTCAAAAGCAATAACAAAATTGCGTCACTGCCAAAGTGTATTAGGAAATTACAAAAATTTTTGTTTGTTATCATTTTTCGAAAGTCATTAGCTGGAGTACGCTGCATATGAACTGTGTTCAGCAAAAATGTCTCGTTGACGCATTTATAAATACCCTCTTTCCTTTGTTGTTTATTTGCCTTCATGTATTGTATGTAATATTTTATCAGTGAAATTGAAATTGCCGCCACTTGTTGAAGAGTTATACAGAAAGCGATAGTTTTTTTTTGCATTATTTATGTGCATATGTTTTATCGTTTTTTTTTTTTTATGAAATAACGGCCACAATCAGTGTCACAGCGGAAATGTTACAATCCAAGTTGTTTCCTCTTATCGCTGAACGAGTGAGCAAAAACATATTCAATTAAAAATAACAAAGTGCGTACTCATGTTTGTTCATATGTGTACATTGATGTTAAGCGAAAAAATAATAAAAAAAACACAAAATAGTTTTTATCATAATTGGATTCCGCAGAATAAAAACATATTGTGGAACAAAGAGTTCAGTGTGGGTGCACAGCAAAAAATAAAATGAGATTGCGAAATACAAGCAAATTTTTATTACAAAAACTTGGGTTTGCAGAATCTCAAAGTTTTGTTGTGGCTTTTGGAAACAATCAAAAGTAATTTAGTACATGAAGAAGATTTAGGTTCAAATTAAAACAACCATGTATTAGGTAAACGGCAGTTTACAAAATTGAACCAATTGAATCTAACAGCATCATTCTAAAAGTATGTCATCCTAATGTGAGCCGCATACTCGCTCAATGCTTTACTCGCCAAAGGGTTGTATCACGTCTAGAAGTATGCAATATAAAATGGCTTCTTTTGCTTATTATATTAGCACATGTTTGAACTTCTCAACTAGAGAAGTAAATTATTTCTTGATATATGTACCTTAGCGTGGGCCGAGAATCCGATTTTTTTATAATTTTAATTGGTAATGGCAAAAATATGGTTTATTATGCGCTAAACACAATCTGTGTGAAATATGACCATTTTTGGTCAATATCTTAGACCCGCCCAAGTCCATCAAAGTTTTTCTTGACTTGCTTCGATTCTCTAAAAAAAAGGTTCATATACCAAATTATGTAGGACTAATACTTTCAAAGATACTTGCAGTTTTATTAAAAAAAAATGTATTAATTAATTTTTATTTTTTTAGCAAATAGAATTTGAATGGATGTGGGCGAGCCTAAGATATTGACCAAAAACTGTCATCTTCCACACAGATTGTTTTTAGAGCCATTATTTTTGCTAAAAAGCGGATTTTCGGCCCACGCTAATGTACATATCATTAGAGTACTCCACTCAATCTATGAGATTCTTGACATATTTTGTTCATTGGGCTCATTTCTACACTCAGAGAGAAAATAGTGTTTTAAAAACAAGTCTGACTGGGGCTAAATTTTTCACTTTTCGTTCTTAAAATTTTAAGCGATATTGTCTTAAATGTTGTAAAAACAAGTAAGAAAGTCTAAGTTCGGGCGGAGCCGAACATTAAATACCCGGCGCAAGTATTAAATATAGGTTTTCCACCTTTCCGAAAGCTACATGATAAGCCGGGGTGCGAAATATTACAGTTTCAAGCATTTCTGAAATTTACCGTTATATAAAAAGCGGCCGTAATTTTAGTCCGATTTCAATAATTTTCAACGTTTTGCTTTTAAGTGGCAAGCACAATAACCACACCGAGTTTGGTACAAATTGGTAGAACGGTTACCGATATACATATATGTGATCACAAGTGGGCGGTGCTACGCCCATTTTCCAAAATTTTGTCATAAACGTATTTCTTGGTAAAGAATTGTTGCAATCATCAATTTTGAATAAATTTGCTTCAATATTTACTGATTTATCGAAGATTTTGTATTTCTCGAAATTACCGTTATATGGGATGTGGGCGTGGTTATTGTCCGATTTTAGAAATTTTCGGCAAGTTGGTATGCTGTACCAGGACCAACAACTGTGCCAAGTTTGGAAGAAATTGGTGTAGCGGTTACCAAGATATACACATGTAACCATAAGTGGGCGTGGCTACGCCCATTTGCCAAAATTTTGTAATATTCTTATTTTTCGTCTAAAACTCATTGCAAATATCAATTTTTAGTGAATTATCTTCAGTAGTTACTAAAATATCGCAGTTTTCGTTTTTCTGAAAATTACCGTTATATGGGAGGTAGGCGTGGTTATTGTCCGATTTTTAAAATTTTCAGCCATTTAGTATGCTGTACTAAGGCCAACAACTGTGCCAAGTTTGGAAGAAATTGGTGCAGCGGTTACCAAGACATACACATGTAACAATAAGTGGGCGTGGCTACGCCCATTTTCCAAAAATTTTTAATATTCATGTTTTCCGTCTGAAACTCATTGTAAGTATCAATTTTGAGTAGATTATCTTCAGTAGTTACTAAAATATCGCAGTTTTCGTATTTCTTAAAATTACCGTTATATGGGAGGTAGGCGTGGTTATTATCCGATTTCGCCCATTTTCAATACCATCCGTCCCACGCCCAAAAGAAGTTCACGTACCAAGTTTCGTTAAGATATCTCAATTTTTACTCGAGTTATCGTGTGCACAGACGGACGGGCGGACGGACGGACGGACGGACGGACGGACGGACGGACGGACAGACAGTCACCGCTTAATCGATTTCTCTGTTCATTCTGATCATTTATGTATACATTTGTCTATATCTATCTCGATTCGTTTTGCCTGTTACAAACAACCGTTATGTGAACAAAGTTATAATACCCTTGTGCACAAGTGCGCTCGGGTATAAATATCAAATTGATTCCCATGTTCATGATCATGAAAATAGCTTTTCTCAAGGAACAACTTTACTCGAATTGAAAGCATTAGAAAGAGCGTCTTCAGCAAGCTTCTGAAGAGCAAAACTATCAACTATAATATCAAAAAATATTAGCAACGATTTAAATACTTGCTAGAATATAAATTTTTATTATTGATTAAAATTATGAGGATTTTAATTTTTAACTGAACAATTCTTGATCTTTGGTTAATGAAAATTTCGCACGAAAAAAAATGCTTTGATTAATATTTTTCTACTCATGGTTTCGCTACTGGTGAAGAATTTACTTAGCAAGGTGTCAAAAAACGTTTTTTTTTTTTGTAGTAAAAATGTTTGTTCGGAAAAATTTTTGTTTAAGTAGAGCGATTAACCCATAGAAATGGACGTTGCAGCTTTTGAACGAAAGTAAACAATATGAAGATTTTATTGTCGATTTACGCAAAATATCCTTTCCTTAACAACATTGGTTCGGCAATTTTTTTTAAAACGAAAAATTTTCTAGAACTGAGCGTGGCAATTTTAGGACCAAAATAAAAAAAAAATTACATGACAGCTTACTGGATTTTCCTGAGTTTTGCACAAAGAGTGGAAAATACATATATTTTTTTATTTAGGATGAACCATTGGAAAAAACAATAACAGAAAACAATAAAAATTAAAATTGTTGCATTTTAAAGATTATTCTCTGTGCCAATACTTTTTGCCGCTAGTGTAAGTATTCAACGAAATTCCTGAGAGCATATCACGCCTCATCCTGTACAATGAAATGTGGTCATTTACACATAAAAGATAAGGACATTTGCTTACCAAATTTTATAGAAATCTTTCTTCAAAGTGTTCGAGAAAAAAATTATTATTACCAAGATAAATGGCTCGGTTTTCCAATTCAATCAACTTACCTGAAATTAGAAAAAAGAAAAGTTGATTTAGTATACATGTACATTTTTTCAGCAAAAATAATGGCCCGTAGTCATAGTCAAAATAAAGTCGACTTTAAAGTTAGTTGCAGCTTTTTGACATAATTTTCAATGGGATATCTGTCAAAAAAGCTGCAACTAACTTTAAAGTCGACTTTATTTTGACTATGACTACGGGCCAATATTATTTTAGTAGTTCTAAATGTAAATGCACAAAAAAAAAGTTTTTTTCATAAACCGCAATATTAGTAATGTTTTTTAATAAAAACTCGATCATTATCGAAAAAAGCGCATCAGCGTATAATCAGTGCTGATCAGTTTAGCCAAAAGTAAACAAAAACAAAGAGAGATGTAAGAGTTTATTTCGCAATAATCTTAACCCTTTGTGCACCACCGTTCTTCCTGTGAAAAATGAAAACACCATCAACAGTGGGCAAATCTACATCTGATTGCAACAAATATAATTTGGTATAGCATCTCTAATATAAAAAATTGCTTATTTGTGGGCAGAACACTGTACCTCAAATATTTAAAAGCCCTGAATTTCTTATTTCACTTAAATAAATAATAATACAAATAAAAATAAAATGATTAGCTAAAAAAATTTAATAAATGTAATGAGATAATGTAGTCCTCAGTATGAGGCTACTATCAAGCCTTAATTTAGGTTTTCACTTTCTTCTTGTGAGTCATAATTGACAGATAATTTTTTCACATACAGTGGTCAAAATAATTATTCGTACAGTGATTTTTTTACAATATTCGCAATATTTTATATTAATTTTAATAAAGGAAAAGCCCCTGAGGATGCTAAGGAAGTTAGCGAAAAGTCGGGTTGTAATGTGTAGAAAGTTTTTTTCTTGCACTCAACCGGATTAAGTCAATTAGCCTTGAGTGTAAGAATTCATATTTTCAAACTTTTTACAAAACTTAAAAAAATTCAATAAATTTTCATCAAAAATTCAAATTTTGGATTCAGAATTATTAGAAAAAAAACGCGTTTGCAGTTCTGTAGCTCATTAAAGTGCAACTTTAAGGTCGCTATAAAAAAGACCACTAATTTTTTAGAATGTCTTTTGTTTTCTCAAGGGTGCTGCGCATTTTCTGCCAGATTATGGACAAACAAAACTTCAAAAATCGACGATACTTTACGGCGACTTGAAACTTCCACTTTAATGCACTAAAATTGAAGAGCTACAAAACTGCATACTCGAAAGTTTTTTAAAAATTCTGAAATAAAATATTTAATGAAAATTTTTTGAATTTTTTTAAGTTTTGTAAAAAGTTTGAAAAATTAATTTACATGATTTTTTTAAATATGAAATGTATTTTCGCGAAAAATTAACGAAAAAAATTATTATGAAAAATATTCTAAAAAAAAAATACTGCACATAACTGTACTTTTAAAAAAAAAAACACGTTTTTTAACAGCGTTCAGCAATCGGCAATGAATAGCCAACCTACCAGTGTGTTGCTATCATAAAAACCATTTGCGACCATTTGGCGGCGACATAAAACTGAAAAACCGAAGATCCCTCAATTTGTGTGAAACATCCGAGTTGAGCACCACAACTCAGAGCAAAGGCTTGGCGAGCCGCTTAAAAAACTGACGACTTTAGTTACAATGTCGTCTTCAGTGATAAAAATCAAACGACTACAATTTATGGTATACCTCGAAAGCTCATCAAAATTGTTGCGCTGGTATGAGTAGATATTTCATTAAAACATTGAAAATTTTGCATTCATTTTGTCGGCAGCTTTTGAATGAAAATATTCACAGCAAATGCAAATATTCCACGCATACATTTCTTTCTTCAAATTAGTACGGCTTATCAGCAGTATCATCAAAAAGAAACATTTGTCAACAGAACGAAATGAATAGGCCAGTCACACACATGCATGTGCTCCCAAACTTACACGCATACACACACAGAACACAAAGTGACAATGAATGTGGTGACGAAAAATTAATTAAACGCATGACAACTTCGACTGCATGCAAGAAGACAGCTACATACATATAATGCGGGAAACATACATACATGATAAAGTGAGTGCTGGCGAAAAGGACAAAGTAAACGGAAGCCGCCTACAAGCCACACAACTCAAACAAACAAAAACAAAGAGTAGACCAACAAAAAAAACAAAAACGGTTGACTAAATTTCGAGAGTGGATGAGAAAGCACTTTGAGGTTTGAGGATATTTCCGGTATCTACAGTATCCTCCCTCTACGCCGCCCCAGCAAACATATCACTTGCCACAACACTTACAACAAAAAAAAAACAACAACCAAAGACTAGCACTTGGCAGTTGTACGCGCGCTTTTGTCAGCTATGTACGAGTATGAAATGAGTAGACAAGTGAATTAGGCTAGGAAACGTGATTGCATGTAGTACGTACGTATGTATGTATGTAAGCATGTCAGTGCGGTGTGGGCGTGTCAGCACGTCGCTCCCATTTCAATTTACGCATAAAAATGTCATTTACTTTGGCTTTCGCATGAAATTTGCATGAATGAATGTTGGAATCCGATGTTGATGCTGCTAACGCTTCTATGCCACCCACCCCACACCCACCCCACCCCTCCTCCTTCATGCCATAGCGTAGCTGCGAAGAAAGCAACTTAGCTGTCCGCCAAAAAGGACTTCACTGCATATGCCATTTGGTAGCTCGTGGACTATGGAAAGATGCTTGCTCGTTCGGCGCCGCAACGCAGCAGTAGTTGCTGTTGTAATAAAATTACGAATTCCATGTCGTGACAAATAGCTGAGTTGATGAGTTGAGTTGACTTGGATTGGCTTGAGATGAAATGATATGCAATGGAATGGAATGGGATGGGATGGGATGGGAATGTTTGCGCAAGAATTTTAGAAAATGCTTGGAAACAATGAATGTGTAATATTATTACGAGTGTAAGATGATGATGGAGTTGGAATTAAAGTGCTGGCGAAGGAAGCGCTTTGATGGTTGTTGGCAAAAGGCGGGGTACGTGGAGATGTGCAGGAAAGTTGGCGACTGAGATGCAGGAGTTGGATTTACATAGAAGGCATGTAGACTTCAAATTCAGTTAAACTGGACAAGCACACAACGCTTGCTTGTCAGTGAGCTATAGTTTCTGCACAAACGTAGGCAAAAATTAAAGTACGAGTAGGAAATCTGATCTCGGGCAACTCGCAGAAACCTTTGTAGAAAAAAAAAACCGATGCATGATCTTACTTCTAGTTGTTTACCTTATCATACAAATTCCTTGTAATATAAAAAATATATACAGTATTGGACATATCTATAGCACCCCCTTTCAAAGCGATATTGTTTGCCACTTATGTTTAGTTATTTGTTTTTAAGAATTTTCAATTCAAATACAGTTCATTCTCTAACAAAACCCCTATAAACCCATGTTTTAAACTTTTTAAAAGACCGCAAAAAAGCGCAACGAGCTCTAGAATTTTTTTGAGTACACAGTTTTATAGCGCATTCAATTTTAGTCCAATAATGTGCAAGTTTCAAGTTGCTAAAGATTACCGTTGATTTTTTAGAATTTTTTTTTGTCTCATTTGCTTCCATATAGCGACTAAACACAATTTATTTTTATATGGCAGAAACCCGCAACATCCTCGGCGAAAAAAATTCTAAAAAATCAACGGTAGTTTTTAGCCACTTGAAACTTGCACATCATTAGACTAAAATTGAATGGGCTATAAAACTGTGTATTCAAAAAAATTCTAGAGCTTCTGAGAAAAAAGTTTGAAATTTAAGGGAAAGTTTGTTGCGCTTTTTTGTGGTCTTTTAAAAAGTTTAAAACATGGGTTTATATGGGTTTTGTTAGAGAATGAACTGTATTTTAATTGAAAATTCTTAAAAATAAATAAATAAACATGAGTGGCAAACAATATGACTTTGAAATGGGGGTGCTATTGTATTGGCCAATACTGTATATATTCGCGACACTTGAGGCCAAATATAGTAGTAAAGGATTTTGATATTTTTAAAATTTGATACATCACTCGAAAACTAATGCAATGAATCGAATGCAGTTTTCGACGATGCATTGCAAAAGGTCTAACTTAAAATATAGAAAAAAAATTAGTAAGGGAGTTGAAACCTGTTTGAAAACTGCAGTTCAAGTAAATGGCAACATGGCCGTCAAAAGAAAGAGATTTAAAAAGGCTTACAGTTAAAAATATGTTTGTGGTTGTGGTTGCCACCTGTTTGAAAATTTTAATTTGATTCAATTGATAAAATAAATTAAATATTTCAATATGGGTATCAAACCAAAGAGGTTTAGAAAAGTTTACTGCCAATAATATTTTTGAGTAGGGTTGCCACCAGTTTGAAATTTTTTTTAATTATTTGATTAATTGATATAATAAATGAAATATTACAGCACAGGAATCAAACTAAAAAGATATAAGAAAGTTTACTGGCTTAAATATTTTTACAGCGGGTTGCCACCTATTTGAAAAAATTTCATTAATTTAAAATAATAAGGTAAATAGTGAAGCAAGTGCACGATATGTAGCAACGAGTTAGAAGATTATAAATTAAATTTCTAGTATTAAATACCTTCGAAAATTACTGCCACTAACACCCTTATTCATAAAAAAAAACAAAGTATGTTTCATAAATCGATTTTTTTTTAAATGTCACTTCATAAAGCTCTTATAATCTATTTCATTTATTTTTTTTTTATGAATGAAGCCATACGAGTTGTGGGATTAAGTAACAACGTAAAAATCTTTTAAGGCGCAGTGAGGCACGCCGGATATTTGCTTGTGTATAATAAAATTATGGACATCATATAAAAGAGGAAATTATGTATAATTAAAAAAATTAAAATTTTTTGGTGCATAAGGACGAATAGGTACTGAAAAAGTCCTTCTAAAATTTTATCCTTGAATATCCTTGAAAATTTTAAATATGTATTTTTGAAAAATTTTTTCGTTAACGACTAATATACACACGAAAACATCCTGGAATTTCG